AGGGAGGGAGGGAGGGAGGGAGGAAGGAAGGAAGGGAGGGAGGGAAGGAAGGATGTGAGGAAGGAACGAAGGGTAGAGGAGAGGGAAGGATGGAGGTAATACAGAGGGAGAGAGAGAAGGAGGGAGGGAGGGAAGGAAGGAGGAGATAAAAAAGAGATTAAAAAAAAGACTGGGTTGGTGGAGGAAGAGAGGGATGAAGGAAGGGAGGGAGGGAGGGAGGGAAGAAGGAAGGAAGGGAGGAAGGGATAGAGGAAGGGAGGAAGGAAGGGTAGAAGAGAGGGAAGGAGGGAGGAAATAAGGAGGGAGAGAGGGAGGGATGGAGGGAAGCAAGGAGGAGATAAAAAAGAGATTTCAAAAAAAAAAAGACAGTGTTGGTAGAATCTGAGCTAGATAAGGATTAAGACACTGCTCAATTAGCCCCGGGTAAGAGCTCCCCTACAGAGAAGAGTGTGGAGCCTGGTGAAGGAGGGGCACCCACTGGGTCTAAATGATAATTTCCTTTCTGACTGGCCTCCCTCAGGGAAGGCCCTATTGGGGCTCCAATTCCTCAAGATTCCATTGGCTCATGTCTTCAGGTGGGCTATTTCCAGGTGGGCTATGTACTCGGCTGATAATTGAAAGGTTGCAGGTTTGCGTCCACCCACAGATGCCTCAGAAGAAAGGCCTGATTATCTACTTCCAATAAAACCAGCCATTGAAAACCCTGTGGAACACGGTTCTATCCTGACACACATGGGGTCGCCATGAGTCGGAGCCAACTCAACGGCAACCGGAGGTAGTGATGACGCCGGTGAAAACAACCTTCCATCTACCCCACATTCCTTCCCACCACCAGCTCATAATTACGAAGCCCAAAGGCTCTGGCTTCTGGCACTTTTATTAGTCAGCACTTAATAGAAACTACAGGGCTGGTTGACAAGCAGGATTTAAAGAAGAACATGGAGTTTAAGAAAACATTCTGTTTCTATTGTATTCACCAGAAGTGGGCTCTAGGGATCCAAATATAGTAGATGGTGTCAGCGTTTTGGAGAAATGCGGCAGTGGGGTTTCAAATGGCTAGGCACACATGGAGGCTGGCCACAAGGCACTGGGGACCGTGTCTGCTGTCTGTGTGCCGTGAGCTTTACACTCACCCCTCATCACACCCTCAGTCTGCCAGTGAAGTGTAATTGATCCCACTTTACATAAGGAAGCTGAGGCTCAGCAAGATTTAGTAATATGCTCCAGGACAGGCAGCTGAAAAGTATTGGAGCCAGGACTTGAGCCCTCGTCTGCTTGACTCAAAAGTCCTCGTGTTTAACCACAGGCCACTGCACTTTAGTGACCACAGCAGGGGTTTGGGAAACACAGACCAAGATCAAGTTTCAGTTCTAATATATCAGCTGCCCTGGAGTTGACTCTGACTAGTGGCAACCCCATGTGTGTCTGAGTAGAACTGTGCTCCGTCGGGTTTTCAATGGCTGATCTTTGGGACATAGATTGCCAGGCCTTTCTTCTCAGGTGCATCTGGATAGATTTGAGCCTTCAACCTTTTGGTTAGTAACCAAGTGCATTAGCAGTTTGCACCAGCCATTTCTAATAGAAATTGCTGTGTATGGTGCCTGCCAGCCTTGTCAGGTGAGATGACATAAATGAGTAAAGTGGGCTAGGAGAGAGGTCTGAGGGAATAGGGCCTGGTGAACTGGAGAGGCCAAGACCACCCTCCGTCTCCACTCAGGGGTTGGCAGGCTTGGTATGAACCACATATACCAAAACTGCCAAGTGAATCTAGAAATCAGGTTTTAGGGTGAAAACTTCCGATTTTGAAAAAATGGCCACTAATTCATTTTTAATCTGCACAAGCCAAACAAAGCACATTCTGGTTGCTGTTGGGTATCCTGCGCTCTAGACTCCAGGAGGGGAGTGCCTCTGCCCTATTCACTGCCATATCCCCAGACTCTGGGACAGAGGTTAGGAGCTGAATGGATATTTGTAGAACAAATGAATGAGGTCTCAAGTCAACAACAGGCAGAGAGGCAAAGAACTGCCAAGCCTGGCTGTCGGATGCAGGCCTGTCTTCAGAACCAAGGCAGCCCAGGAGGGAAAGATGCAGTCTAGGCCAGCATCTGAGCAGAGAATTGGAATGAGGGCCTGGGGCCGCTCACATTGTTCCTTCCATACGGCAGAGGTGATGTGGGCACCTGGGCGAGACTGCACTACCTCCTGGAAGCTGTGGTTGGCACAAAGACAGGCAGGGCTAGGGATGAGAAACCTGAGCCACCTCTCCTAACCCAGCCTCTCTGTTCCAGGACATTCCCTGTAAAAGGGGATGGATGGTGGTATGAGTCAAAAACACTGAGGAACATCGTGAACTGATGGTCAGTAAGTTACCCGAGTGGTGCAGATGGTTAACACACTCGGCTGCTAATCAAAAGAAAGGCCTGGTGATCTACTTCCAAAAAATCAGCATTGAAAACCCTACGGAGCACAGTTCTACTCTGACACACACAGGGTTGCCATGAGTCAGAATTGACTCAGTGGCAACACGTTATATGCTTTTATAATAATAACAACCCAAAATCAGTAGTCCAACAAAAACAAAATCCTCATAAAAAGATGCATCTTTAGCTCTGCAGCTACACTTGGATATATTCAACCATGAGGCTGACCTCACTGGTAGGAGCGCTGTTCCTGGACAACAAAGGAGATGTCACACACCCAAGCTGCCACTAGCAGCCACTAGCCCAGTGGATGAGCGGCACTTCCCTTGTGTGTCCTGACCGAGGAAGGGAGAGCGGCTTCGAGTGGCTCCCTGCGAGCAGGCCTCAGTTTCCATGATTGGCATGATTTGATGCCAGTGTTTCTGGTCCCCCCAAGCTTGGCATCAACTTTACGGGAGTTTGGGGGTACTGGCAGTTTCAGGAGGAGTTCCTGGATGTTGCAAATGGGTAACGCACTCAGCTGCTAACCAAAAGGTTGAAGGTTCAAGTCCACCCAGAGGTGCCTCAGAAAAAAGGCCTGGTGATCTACTTCTAAAAAATCAGCCATTAAAAGCTCTGTGGAGCACAGTTCTGCTCTGATACCCATGGGGTTGCCATGAGTCAAAGTCAACTCAACAGCAGCTGCTTTTAGCAACCTCAGGGGCTCATGTGTCAGAACACATATTCCTTTCTTAGCTTCCAAAGAAGCTGGACTTTTTTCTGGCTCCCAAGCTGGGATTAATGGTGAACAGTGTAATTTTTTTAGCTAAAGAGACACTGTTATCCAGGAGCCAACTATCCATCCTTCCCAAGCCCCTTGCTGCCCTGGGGATGAACCTTGCTTGCCATCTTTATTAAATGGCACAACTCTCTCCTCCAAGCAGCCAATCTAAGGCTACTTGCAATGACATTAAAGCCACCAGCTGCAGCCACCAGTTCATGGCAGAAGCGTCCCCCAGAGAACCATGCCATCCTCTCACAGTTTCAAAAATCAGAATACCAACCTTCAGGAACAGGGGGAGAAGACTCAGCAGGCTCTTCCGGCGTTCATCTGGGGTCCTGAAAGCCTCTTGCTTGTGTTCCAGAAACTTCCCTTCTAGCAGCTCCCAGAGAGCATCGGGGCCGGGGGACTGCACACTCTCAGGTTGGCTGTCATTGCCAGACCCTGGGTCCCGCACTCTGTCTCCAGCTTCTGGAGTGTCTTCTGCCTCCATGCCTTGGCAAAGCAGATGTGAATTCAGAATGACACACAGTGAAAAGCTCTGTCACAGCTCTTCCTGATGAAACTGGTCGTGGGACAGGGTACGGGACTCATTCAGTCCAGTTCCTATGAAGTTGTTTCCTCTAAGAATCTGAAACCAGCAAAAATAAGGAAGACTTCTTACAAGAGTTTCTAATTTCGACGTAACTGATGTATTGACAATCTAACGTGTCAGGGAATGTGCCCAGCCCTTCTACAGACTCTCTTACAGTCACAGAGAGATGCGTTTTTAATTCTCTTTACGTAAGTGAGGCCAAAACATTCAGGCAGCTAGAAGTCAAGGTGAAATGCAAAGCTTTAGCCTCAAAGCCTGTTTGTTTGTTGGTTTTAATAATCTGATGTTGCTCCTCTTTTAAAAGACAAAATTAATAGAAGAAAAATGTGTAAATATTTCCCCAGTATTTATGAAATCATGGGCTTCTACGTGTTAAATCATAACTTCCTTCTACCACATGAGTTTAAAAGGATATAGGTTCTTCATTCTCAGCACTATTGGTTCACTCTCAATCTTTAAAGGACTTTGTTCTCAAAACGACTCTTTAAACCCCCAAACTAACTTAAAGGAGCTCGTCTGTAAGTGCACACAGGTGAAACTGGTGTAAGCCTGGAAACTCAGGTCAGTAGGCATAAAGAACAAGAGTTTATGGGAAGAAAATAGCCAGGATAACCTTGAGCCTCTATTTATGTCCTTGACTTTTCAGTTGTCAAACTCTTCAGGTGAGTCACTACTGACTGGCAGTATAACAATGGTTTGTTAAGTTGTTGTTTATTTGTCAGGAGTGAAGGAAACTCCAAGCAGGCATCAGAATGCCCTGGTGCCCTGCAAGAAGCCGCCCCTAACCACAAGGTCCCCATGTGATGTGGGAATCCAGCCCTGGAGTCTGGGCAGCGTCTGACAGTCACAGGGAAGCACCAGATGGACGGGTACACAGAGGTGGGTCAGCTAGTTTTGCTCTTGGCTACAGTCCGAGAAGATACATCCTGCTTTATTTTTAGCCCAGAACACACATTACTTGCAGGCTTTGACTAAAAGTTAGCTCAGTGTCATGTGTCCAGGCTAACCACCCCCTTTTTGAAACTTTGTCACCCTTTATATCTACAACTCCGTGTGCCCCTGGCTCCTCTCCTGTCACTCTGCTTCTGTTCTCAGAATTCATTTTAAGAAACCATTTTCTTATTACAAAAGCCATGTATTATCACAGTGGAAAATTGAGAAGGAACCAAATATCAGGAAGAATATAAAGATTGCCCATAAGCCCCCTACCAGAAAATGACTGTTGATATTTCAGTGTATATCTGTCCTGTCCATATAGCTTAATAAGAATATACCCATCATACTTTTTAAGTCAACTTTTTTTTATACTTTTACTTTTGTTGGCTGGTTGATGGACTGGTCGGTTGGGTGAGGGCTTGTGGAGTTTTGTGTGTGTGTGTTTTCTTTGGGGGGTTGAACCTCAGGGGCAGCCAGTGGGGTTCCTCACACCCGCCAGTGCGAGCACAGCCTCCTCACTTATTTGAGCGGGGCCTCCAGGCTGTGGTGGTTTACTCATTTATCTCCTTGACCACCACTCCCATTCCCTTCTTCCCCACCTGCCATACCACCGGCCACCACTCCCACCTGGCTGATCCATTTGACAGCTATCATTTCGTTAGAATGGGTCCTTCTCAAACGTGAGACGTGATGCGTGATTTCTGCAGGCAGGCATCTTTTAATTACCTCAGTGACCTCTTCTACAGACCCCTTCCTGCAGCTGGCTTTTTCTTCCTCTGTATTATGTCTTCAGACCCAGCCATGTGGCTCTGTACTTACCAAGTTCATTTCTGCTAACTGCCACCCAGTATTCCGAGTGGACATCCACATGCCTGTCTTACTGGTGACTTCCTGTGACTGCACACAGTGCTGTTGTGGATATCCCTGAATGTGTCCCCTGATGCGGCTGCATGATGCTGCCTCTGGTATGCACACAGGAGCTGGGATGCTGAGCGTGCCCTCCAGAAGGTTGGCTCCAGGCCGTGCAGCCCTGCAGAGCACTGAGGGCTCTCTCACCCCATCGCCGCCACGCTTGGCATCAGCCCGCTTTCTAAGTTTCGCCAACTTGGTAGAGGTAACGCTGTCGTTTTAATTTGTTTCTGTAAATTGCTAACACATAGAAGCATCTCCTTCTATGTCTCTGAGCCTGCTGGCATTCCTCTTCTGTGAACTGACTGCTCATAGCCTTTACCCACTTTTCTTTGCTTGTCTTTTGCTTGTTGCTTTATAAGAGTCCCCGGGATACTCTACAAACCAGCCATTTGTTGGTTTTAAAAATTGCAAATATCTTCTCTCAATCCATTTTTCTTATAAATTAGCTCATAACTTTCTTTTTTGTCACAACCATATATCGTGGGTATTTTCCATGTCATTAAAGATCTTTAACATCTTACTTTTTAATGGCTGCACGGGGGCCCGTGGGACAACCTGGGTAGCGTATCTAACTAAGCCCACACGCTTACTCAGGTGGTTTCCGACTGCACACTGCTATACACAAACCTGCAGTGACAACCCTCACATCTAGCTCCTTCCATGTATTCATGATTAAATAACAGATTGTAATACATTCCTAAATTCCTAAAAGGAAATACCAAAACCAAACCCATTGTCATTGAGTCGGTTCTGATTCTGCCTCATAGCGACCCTGTGGGAGGCTGGTGGATTCAAACTGCTGACTTTTTGGTTAGCAGCCATAGCCCTTAACCACTGCGTCACTGAATAGCTGGGGGTAAATGTAGGTAAATTTTGGGGCCTCTTGACGGGTATTTCCAAACAGCGTCTCCAGGAACACCACGTCAGTTTGCAGGCCTCCTGCCAGCAGTGTAGGGACGCTCACACTTCCTTCATCATTATCAATTTTTACAAAAATTCTTGCTCACTTGAGACAGTAAAGAAAACTGGAATTTCTGTTGTTTCTCACTATATCTGGTTGTAGTGTGAGGAGCAGGGCACGTTTCTGTCTGTGTGACCCTCAGTCCCTTCGAGGTCCCTGCAGCGGATCTGTGGAGTCAGACTGCAGAATGTTCTCATTTCTTAGGTTCCCTCTGGGAGATCTCAGCTGACTGATAAGCCCTGAGAGCCGTATATCCACTGACTATTAGCTCCAGGGAGGCAAGGACTTTGTGCCTGTAACAGGGGCTGGCACCCAGTAGACGCTCAGGAAGATGTTGAATAAATGAATGACCCTATAAATGAATGAATTAACCTATACGCTGAGGATGCACAAATCTCTCTAGCCCAGACTCTGACTCCTCTTATGAACAAGTTCTTTTCTTTCCTCCTGACAAGATTTCAACTTGGATTCCCGCAAACTCTGAAAGTCGTCATGTCCCAATCAAGCTGCCCTGCCACTCACCAAGAGAGCCAGCCCAAAGCCCACCCGTAGCCATCAAACCCAGGGGATGGTTGTTACAAGCGAGCTCCACGTTGTCTGTCTTAGAAAATTCATTTTGTGGCCACACCTGCAGGTGTGACTAACCAGTTCATTCAGTGACCCACGTCTGAGCACCTGCCACGTGCCACGTCTCCAGGATACCAAGTGCAAGTCCACGTCGGGGTCAGGACAGAACACAACAGATAACCCTCAGGAATGTGATGGATGCTCTGCAGAATGTAGGACATGTCTCAGGTCTGCTAGAGAACTCATGTTTACTGAAGGGAAACATCTGAACCGAGTTCCCTCAGGACAGACAGATTTCTGAAAAACAAGCATTTCTAACAAATGTGGATCTGTGAAAGAGTGGAGAAGTCATTTGATTCAAATGTGGAGCTCTGGCTGTCCCATCTCTGGCCTTCTGCCAATCACCCTGCCCCTGCTGTGTTTTGCCAGTAAGGGAAGGAGACAGGGCCAGGCTCTCAGCTACCAAGAAGGGCCTGGAGGAGTGCCAGCACCTTCATTTATTCTCAGAGTGAGAACAGACATGGGGGCGGGGGGCCGAGGGTCACTGGGGGGGTCCTGTGGCAGCACCAGGGCTAGGGTGAGGCAAGCGAGGCACTTGTCTTGGGCACAAGATTTAAGAGGGGCCCCAAAACTCAGTAATCATGATAAATGATGTTTTATCACAATATTTAAAAAATCAATATTAATGGCAAAAAATTCCTCTCTGAACAAAATACCAAAATTTTACACAGACAGGTCCCACCTTGCACTAGCACGGCCCTCCCTCTGTCCCTCGCCGTACGCCCTGTCCTGTGGGAGTCTGAGATCACGGCATTTTTCAAAGCCATCAACAAGTTAGACAGACACCCCTTCCTGGCCCCAGCCTCTGGCTTCTGCCAGTGACTCGTGCAGTGCGCTGGTGGCAAACACAGATTCTGGAGCTAGGCCTGCTCGGGTTTGTGTCTGCTTGGCTTAGACCCATTGACTGAAGCTGATCCTGCCTCAGTGTCCTCATTTGTAAAATGGGGTGACAGTAAGCCCTCCTAATAGGGTGCCAAGAGGGTTACGTAGGTGCTTGGCCCATGTTCTAGTTGTGACTGGAGGACGAACACTTGTTTGTGCACACTGGGTAGTGCAAATGGTTAATGGTAAACGGTTACTAGCTGAAAGGTTGAAGGTTCAAGTCTACCCAGAGGCACTTCAGAAAAAGGCCTGGTAATCTACTTCTGAAAAATCAGCCATTGGCTTTTGCTTTTACTCTCTGCAGTAGCAAAGGAGTCCCTTGGTTGACTAGGGTGCTTTTCTGAGCCAAGCCTCGGCCTTTTCAGTTGCACAAAGTTGTTGTTGTTAGTTCCGTTGAGTCAGCTCAGAGTGAGATGTTCCCTCATATGCATGCAAAACTTAGATAATGGGAAGACAGAAGAAGAATTGATGCGTTCAAACTGTGCTGTTGGTGAAAAATATTGAGTATACCGTAGACTACCAAAAGAATAAACAAATCAATCTTAGAAAAAATACAACCAGAATGCTCCCTAGAAGCAAGGATGGTGAGACTTTGACCCGCTTACTTTGGACACAATATCAGGAAAGCCCAATCTCTAGAAAAGGACATCATGTCTGGTAAAGTAGAAGGCCAGTGATAATGAGGGAGATCCTCAGTGACAGGGGTGACCCAAGAGGC